AGATGATGATTTAGGCAGAGTATTCATGATTTAAAAAAGGGTGCCAAGTGTCTTACATTAATAGCAGAACTTTACTGAAAGGGAACTTCAACAAAGAATATGGCTAAAGAGAAGATATTTTGAAAGTTTTGTCTTCTGAAACTTTATCACTAAACTTTCTACAGTAAAGTTTTGATATCTGTATAAGTACTTGGCACCCATTTCCCATTTGTTTCATCAGTTACATAATTTCCTGAAAAGCTACTCTTATGTTACAAGATGTGTGCATTAAAATACTTCACATAAAAAAATTTGTATTAACAGTGAAAGGACATAGCAGAAAGTTATTCATTACAATATTGTGTTCCAGTGGCATGTCAACTATAGTAGCAGGACCCCTCCCCACCCATTGAAAAACTCTTTCCACACCACATCTGAGATATTAGGATTGATTCTTTTAAGATTTTTAAATTCTCTCTACATTGTGACTCCCACTAGTATGAAAGTGAGAATTTTGTTTGTATGGGTGGGGTAGTTATGTTACGTATTTTGAACTGAAAAAAGTATATCAAATCAGATGAGATCTAGGTGGTGAGTTTAATGGCAACTTGAAACAGTTTCAGACCAGTGCAAAGCTGTGCAAAGACATCCTGAGGTTAGTTTGACTTTTTTAATAATTAACACCTGCCACACGAGCCAGCCTGTCATCTTGATGTGGATAAAAATAAATTGGTCATTCCAGAAAGGTTTGGGTTGTTTGGATTAGATAAAAAAAAAGACGTTTGGCACTACTTTTGAGGTGTAGGTCACTGGACCAGACTCATGACTGAACACAAGACCATGAGAACCACACGAAGAAGTGAACTTGTAAATGTAAAGTAAAACCATGTAGCAATGAAACACGCTTGAAATTTTCTAGATGTGTTTGTCAACATGATGGTTTAAGTGAAATGATTAAGCTAAACTGTGGGTCTAGGTCAGATGAGGGAAGAACTTATTCAAAGAGATCCCAATCAATTTGACATACCAGCTGAATCATAGATTCATCAATTGATTACTGCATATACCGCAAAACAAAAAAAAACGGGCACAACAGTTTCGTTATTTTCCAAAAGGAGGAATGGAATCATATACAAGTAATAAAAAAACATTTTGTAAATGTAAACGGATGTAGGTATGGCAGTGCCAAAAAGGATGGAAACGAGAATATAGGAATGAAACATCGATACACAGATCACCCCCTACATGACTTTCAATATTAAAATTTAATGTTACACTCAAATGCACAAGTAGAAAATGGTTACAAGATCAGTCAATTTGACTGACTTCGTAGGGAGAGTCTGTAATAATCAAGACATGTTTTAATTCAGTTTTCCTTGTACGTAAGTCCTAACCTCTTAGTTACATTATATTGGTTCCAACCCTGACATAACCATGAAATTATGATAAACAAACTGCATAACAACAGTCAGGAATATAAAACTTCCAACTGTAGTAATATTAAAGTCAAGTATGCATTTTACAGTGTAACATTAAATAAAATGTTTGTCTTTTTAATTAGACGTATTTTAGAAAAGGGCCGAACTATGTGTGACATTTTGACTCTTATGATGAGTTATGATCATTTAGCACATATATTAACATTTACATTGATGGCTATTCACACGAGATATGGTAATTGGAGGCTACTTATTAGAAGCTATAGAAAAGCTAGATGGTTGCCCAGGGGAAATGAAAACAGGTATGTCAGCACCTTTTAATGATTCTTTGTTTCTCCAAACACTTTTGATACATCCATCAAGAACCAGTGGCCATATGACATTTCATTAAAAATTCAGCAACAACAATCACATCTGAGTAACTTTTGTACCTGAACATACTTACACTATGTCACCATGTCTAGTAGCAATTGATGAACATCATGGGCTTGAGTTTTAAACCCAGACTGAAAATACAATTGTATAAGCTCCAGCCACCTGTTTGAGTCATTATAGTTCTACATTTTTTCTTAGACAATATCAAAATAATACTTGAAAAAAAAAAGAAACAAAAGTGTCATAATGTCACTTATGGGGATCCAGGCAAAAATTTAGTTTTCCCTAAAGGAAAACCAATTAAGTAAACCACAGCTGTGATTTCACAAAAACTAATACTTTATAACAATGTTACATATTCACCAGATAGTTACATTTATTCCTGTATTATTTTTATTCTTATCTGCTAGCCTACCTGGACTTCTGTTCGTCCACTGACCAAGCCCTGAATAGCAGAACCTTTAAGCATGGCTATCCTAGAATCAGCAACTCGCAAGAAGGGGGAAACTAGTTCTGTGATACTAACGGAAACCTGTCTACTAAGGAGATAAGCTTCTCTTCCTGAGTTATGGTCTACGCTAAAGAAGCGAGTGAAGACTTGGATCCCAGCCTGTTGATAGCGTAGTCTACATACCACATCCAATGCCTGATGATAAACATTTTTTCTTTATATTGAAAATATTTAGTGTTACAAGAACAAGTTAAAATAATATATAAGGTCAAAAATAGGTGTTATATAATAATTTCTGATTACTTTATTGAAAAGAAACATTGCACACAATTATCATTCAACAACAAACAAATACCTGTTTAGTTTTATACAAGCTTATCCTTCTTTGAACATGTTGACAGTGAATAGCGTTAGGTAGCTAAAGAGAATAATATTAAGTAGCTAAAACAGAGAATAACATTAAGTAGCTAATACAAAGCAAAAATATTAAGCAGCTAAGATAGAGGATAATCTCAGGTAGTTAAGGCAGATAATAACTTTTGACAACTAAGAGAACATGAGATAGCTACACATAATAATATTAGGTTGTTGCATAGAATGACATTATGTAGCTAAAGTAGAGAATAAAATTAGGTAGTTTGCTATTTTGAATCAATCTCAAATCCATTTTACATGATAGCACTCTATAATGAACAAATGGAAGAACACAGACATTATTATTTTCTTCTATGTACTTAAGTCTCTGTAGTAAACGAAGTTACCTCTCTCTCACCATTCCATTTCTTATTCTTGTGTTTGGATCTTTTCTGGGTTTTGTCTCTGCGATTAGAACTGGCCTGGTTGTCATGGTTATCAAAGGAACTTGGAGAAGGTCTGCGAAACTTTCTAAAAACAACCGAACAACTCAATTACAGTTATTCTCACATTCAGTAAACTAGGAATTTCTTTGCTCTCTACATAATAATAACCTATCAAATTCAAGAGGGCCAATCTCTTCAGGGGCACCAAAGCAAATAAAACAAATATTTCCAAAGAAATAAAGGTGATATAAAATGGGAGTACCACAAGGATCAGCTTCTAGTTCTCTTTTATATATTATATATATAAATAACTTACTAAGTTTAGTTGTATCACTGAGCCTAATTATGAAAATTTTCTATTTATAGACCATATAACATTATTCAACATGTCAGTCAGCAATAAAATGCATATACATTATGAGTAAAAATAATATGTATTACTTCAATACTACTAACATTCTAACTCAAATAGAATTACCTGCTTAGAAAACAACATTTCACACGTAATCATTTAGAGACGAATTAGCATCTTGACTCAAAGCTCTGAAAATGTTGCATAGTCATCATTGCAGATTTAGATATGCAGACTCTTATAAAGGCTCTTTTTTATTTTATTGTTTTTTGCAGCCCTAATAAGAGCCTATGCTTTTTGTAATTATTAATATAAAAAATGCACCACAAAATAAATATTAAAACTGAATATGTTATAAATTTTTAACGCTATTTATATTTCATTTTTTTTTATATATCTTTTAACCTTTATCAACATGTTATAATTTATTACTACTTAATCTAGTGTTGATCAACTTGGTGATGGCTTTGAATCAGAAAACCTGCGAGTTTTTGCAAACAAAAAAATTAACTTCCAAGACAAATATATCTGAAAAATAAACAAACATGGACGGAAACTCACTTAGTTAATTTATTAATTTCTGTGCCTTACTGATAATGTAAACCATTAACCAGCTTAATTACAAATGTCTCGCAGAAACTACTTTTTCTAACTTGGCAAAGCATGAATCATGAATGTAATTAATTATACATGCAAAAGGATATTAGTATTAGGTTTATTATATTTTTAATATCATATTCTTTATTCAGTCCCTCAGGGTTTTTTAAGAGGATGAAAGGAGTAGGGAGGGACAGCAAGGAAGTTTGATAGGTCCTACATATGTAAACTATCTTACAGGGCCTAAGCCTTGAGGCAATAAAAACCATTTAAACAAGTTTTAGGGCAAAATGGGACTCCGTGTTTTAGGACATAATAGGACTCCATACCTAGGAATGGGGTGAGGTATATAAGGTTGTAGCATACATATATATGACTTTTGGATAATGACAAGAAAGTGCGAAGGTTCTTCTACAAATTGGATTTTTAAAAAAATCATTTTAATGCTTACAGCATCACATGAAAATTGTGATTTAAATGTTTTGCACTAGAAAAGGTTTTTGTTACATTTTAACAGCACATACACACAGAATAAGAGTTGCTCTTAGTAGGTCTTAAACCTATAAATATAATTGTTTTTTGTGTGTATTCCTTTTCCTCTTTGTCTTTATATATACACAATGGATGGAGAAACATAAATTTTCCCAAACGATATTTCTATGCTAGTGGAACTTGAAATTCAACAGAATATATACAATTGTATTTCAAGCCACAGATTAAAACTAAGGGCCATAGAATTTATTGGAAAAGTTGTTTACAAAACTTCCTTGTAAGCAATGTTTTCAATATTTGCATCTTAATGGGCAAATTGGTAATGGATCAAATGACCATATCCTGGATAGAGCTGGGCAGAACTGACCATGAAAAAAAATTGGTTCAGCCAAGTGTAACATCAATGGACAGACATCCTTTTGTTAAAATTATTGTATGAATGTAAGCTATCATAAAACCTTTAGCTGCTCTTGCTTCCCAAGTAATCTACAATATGAAAAAAAAGCACATGGTTTAACCATAATGAATTAAAAAAAACATCAAACTTAAACCACTTTTACAAGTTGGAATGACAGAATGAAGGTAACTTGTTTAATCATGATTAAATAATTATTAGTTAGAATTGCTTTTTTTTTTCATCAAGTTGGTAGTTAGCTGTATTCTATATTACATTTAACCCTATAATTACCAATACAGGCCCACATGGACGAGTTTTTTCAATGCACTTTTCGAAACTATTTATGCATCATATTGTGTTGGATATAAAAGCTTGTTGGTAAAAGTATTTCTAATACCATACTAGCCAAACACAAAAACTAAATACAAATAACATCTATATCTCAGTTAATCCCACTAATTACTGCTGAAGTCCCTTATGTATTTTTACATAGAAAATGAGTGATTTCACCAATTTTCATTACAATGAGTTTTAATGGGAAAAAATAATAAAATATACTCAAATATAATAATACAATATGCAACCTGATTGGAAGGGAACAACATGAAATGAGGGCAATAATAATAAATATTATTAATAACTAGTAGTAATTCAAATTCTTGTGAAAACAATGTTGTCATTAATCCTTTAAGTTAGCTTTCTAACAGAAATTTGGTGTTCCTTTAAAAAAGCTTAAGTACAGAGTGAAACAGAAATTACCAGCCAATGATAGATAAATGATAAATATTACAGTTGGAACCTTATTGTATATAGAACTTGCTTATAAATACAACCTTCCTATGTCTATTGAAACACTGCATTAGAAAAAACAAGTAAAGAAAAATGTTTCAAAATGGAAGTAAATGTAGGGATGACTAATATCAACTACTCAAAAACAATACAAACAAGATAGTAGGGATGGCATTTGCATCAACACTACATAAAAGCACAGATGAGAATTAACATACAGCATTATATATATATTGCTATTCAATCATAACTGAGTGTAATCTATCCTATTTTTTCCCCATTATTAACATTCTACTATACTGAAGCAAATGCCATTCCTACTATCTTGTTTACATTGTTTTTTAAGGATTGATATTAGCCATCCCTACATTTACTTTTTTTTAAAGTTTTCTTTACTTGTTTTGAATTTAACCTACCTGTAGTTTGATGTTTTTACCAACTGGTAGTTAGATATACCTGCTATTGAAACAGTTAAATATCACAAATGAAATATTCTTACCTTCTTTGAAGCCTAGGTGTCCTCCAGCCTTTCACTTGACTAAGCTTGTTATCTGATAATTTCACTTCCAAAGGCAGCTGAGGCATCCAAACAAGGAAATGAGCCTGACCAGTGTAAGTTCCATATTTCACCAGCACTGATGCATTTTGGGAGCCTCGGATTTCTGAACCATCTAAATACACAGATGTGCAGGAAGGTGAAACCTGTTGTGGAAGACAAGGAACAAATTGTGTTATTATAGCTCCATTCTAGACAGCATGCTTTACTAAACATCCAGGATAGTTGGGAAGGAAGATGGTGTAATTTGAGTAGGTGAACATGTTTGGGTAAGTGTATATATATGAGGCTGAGCAAATGAGTGGCTCTGCAGCAAATGTACAAATAGCCTAGATAATGAACAGATGAATAAGAGGACAACTGTGGCTTAGCAGCTGAGAATATGAAAGATGAATGTACAGGTAGTTCAAGGATGGATAGATGAGTGAGTGCACAGATGTATTTAAGAAAATGAGTGGATGGAAGTACTGACAGCTTAAGACTTGGTTGATTAGATGAATAGGTGTGGGCACAAATACAAGTGGGTGAATGCCCAGATAGCTTCAAAATGATGGTTAAATGAAAAGGTGGCTGTATGGTTGTAAAAGTGATTGGATGGATAAATGAGTTCCTTGATAGGTATCAGTAGGTATGTGAGACAATGGATAGATTAATAGGTGGTTGGGTGGATAAGTATTGTTAAGAAGCTAAGTAAATGGAAGATGAATACATGCACAGGTAGCTAAACAGGTTGATAGGTGTTGGTTAATAGATGAATGAATGGATGGGTCAGTGGATTGAAAGTCAAGTGGATTATATAAATTTGGTTATTTCGATTATCATCGTAAGGATAGTAGGTACAACAACTATACATTTATTGAATAAGCTGAATTCATTAGGGGTAATGTAAAAAATATTTATTTGATAAGTTGGATTATCATCTTATTTGCATTAAACAGAATATATAAATTTCAGTTTGATGTTCAGTTTTCAAGAACACATCACATCCATGCATCTCTTGTCCCCATTAAACCTCCCAGTTCATTATTTCATAGGCCTACAACATTTGCCAATACTAAAACAAGTTTTGCTCAACTAACTGGATCTTTAGAGGAAGTGATTTGCTTTTGAACAGATGGGAGAAAAGTTTAATTGAATCTGTTTGTTGTTAAACTGTGAAAAAATAAAAAAAATAAAAAGATTGCTTTATAGGGCTGTAATAGTATGCTTATCCCAAGATCCAATAAGTATTGCAATGCATATGAGTATGTTAATTCATTAACGTAGCAAACACAAAATGATCAATACTACACTAATGCAAAAATATTAATTTCAAAAATGTAACTGTTGGCCAACTTAAACATCAGCTTTATAGCAAAAAACCATCAAAGACACTGTTTAATATAATCATTCATATGAATCTCTTTGTCCATAAATGTTGCCAAAATGAAGGCTGTTGTTCCAAGTAATGAAACAGCATGTTAAAAGTAGAATTCCACCTGGTTGAGGAATCTTGAATCAGCTTGTGCTGAGGAAGCATAAGCTGATTTACTTTCAGTTTAGAATTTACTATTAAAATTCTGTGAAAAAAATTGAACTACTCCTTTTACTTGCCCTAACAACTTATCCAACTGCAGCACACAAGGACCTTTCTTAGCAGCTAAATGAAGTGTGTGCAAAGCATTGCATGTGGGATGGAGGTTCTGGCAGTTTTAGCACATTGCAAACATTATTTGTGTTATCAGTTGTAACAGTTAGATTGTTAACCAATTTCAAGTCCCAATAATATACAGCCTCCTTCAGTACACAGACCCTGTGCTCATCCCTATGCAATTTATTTAAGTTTTAACTATCTTGTTTATAGAAAGGAATTTCTCATTTCCCAGTTGTTGTTCACCTCGTAGTTCATCGATCACTGGTAGGGGTAACAGAAGAAGCACAGTCCAGTTCAGTGTCAAGCTTGTCCTTTTTTTCTTTTTGTAGTTGTACAGGACTGGAATTACTAAAATACTAAAGTGAGTCTTAGAACGAATCTCATATCTTGGTTTCAAAACCTTAAGCAGAGTCCTAAAGCCAGTATTATCTACAAATGAAAATGGTCTCACATCTTTAGCCATAAGGATTCCACTAGCTCCGTTAGCTTTTTCGCACCTTGACTGTCCGGGTTGAAATCCGTTTTAAACTATTCATGGAATTTCAGAAGTATGGTGACTTTTACTGCTTACATGTGTGGCCATGTTTGACGTTGTTTTCGTTTTATAACTGAATTTCATCTCCCAAATTTTACATACAGTTTTCGAACGATCAGCTTTTTCTTACTCCTGATTAGGCACTTCGATAAGTCAGTCATTGTTGACGCAGCACGTGGTAGTTTTGTTACCGTTCATTTAATAATTTGATACGCGGGTTTTATGAGAAATTAAAAACCCGACTAACGACATTTCCAAGCCGAGTTATTAAAGGCAACAAAAAGTATAGTTAGAACGATTATGCAGCGCATAGACCGATCATGCGCTTGAATGTAAAGGTAAGCTTGTAATTATATTATTTAAAACGTTTGTTTTTATACAACATAAAAAAGTACATTCAGAAAGAATCAAAAACAGAACCTCAGCATAAAAGATTGTAATCTCGATGTATCGTTATAGCCCTAGTGCTTTGTTATTAAAGTTATAGACAGGGATAGAGGGGGGGGGCAACATTTACCTCCATCCAATGATTAACGGCCCCAAAATTCTAATCAAAACTGACAAATGGTGTGCGATTTTTCGGATATCATCGCATTCGAGAGCCACAAAATACCCATTCTCTCTCCCCCCCTTTAAAAAACAGCAAACAAAGAAAAACAATGTGACCTAGTGATACAATAAATATCAGAATCCACAAGACATACATTTTTGTGAGCATAACAAACCGGCTAGAAAAACTAGATAAAAACTATTTAGAAAACAAATTGACAAAACCAACCTTAAGAATTGATTCGTCCGCTGCGTGACATGAAGACTGTAGTGTTACGTCACCGACTTTTCCTGCTTGACTAATTACGAACACTCTCATTGGCTGAGAGACTTGCTTACCAGTTAAAACCGCCGTGTTTAACAGTTGAGTTGACTAAATAGAAAGACACGAACATTAAATTATTTATAAAATATACAAAACCAAGCCTGAAAATAATACCGTCCAGATTATAATAATAACTAGTCTTCTTCTGACCTTAGAATACATTTAAACGAACAATAACAAAAACTGGTTTCTTTGTGAATAACTAAAACCTTACTGTGGCTTTTTTACACACTAATCTCCAAAGGGTGGTGCAAAAGTCGCATAACATACGTATTAAGTCACTCCACTTACATTAGTGTTTCATTTCTGTCTACTTTTATTTTATTGCAATAACTGGTTTGGAAGGCACTAACAGTGCATGCACATGTGGGCCTGTGCAAGCTTAACGGGGTCAACACCGCAAATTCCTCGAGAAGTAGGAATAAAGCAAAGAAGTGTACTCTGGACTGTGGAGCAACATAACATCCATCCAACCTTACAGGCTGCACGTATCGCAGAATTTCACAGAAGATGACCCAGACGGGCCAGTGAGATTTTGTGAATTATTCATGGAGCAGACGAAACCAGATGAATACTTTGTACAGAGTATGTCCAACCTGATGATGATAAAACCTTTTCGAAACGTTGTACATTTGCTGTTATGTTAAACCTATATTAAGGTTTTTCTTCATTACCCATTCAAGCCGTCTCCAACTATTATTTGTCCAGAGTATGTTTCGAACAGATGATTCAACATTGTATAAAGTACCAGAATTGTCGATATTTATCCCAGAAAAACTCATACTGGGTTTTAGAAACCCAAGACCAGAGGGCGGACTAAGTGATGGTTGATGGACTGTCATGTTATGTTGTTGGTCCACTTTACATCGACGCGACACTGACTGGAGAAGGTTATTTTGCTCTTTCGCAGGAACATATTGGCCCGGTGATTATATGTTTCCAAACCATATCATAGGTCACTTAGTTTCAACAGACTGGACCGATTTCCCACTACCCATTGGATGTGAGGCAATAGCTGGATGTAGCTTTTCCCAACAGATGAATAAAGGAGTCATGGGCTAGTGGCATGGCTTGCACCCACACTTGTCTAGACTTATAAATTGGGTTACACCAGACACTTCGTGTTTATCATGCGTCCACAAGCTGAGTATCAAAAAAACTTATGTGATCTTATCATAACACCGCATCTGCTACTAAACATAAACTTAATGAGAGATCCCAGTGTCTTGATACCAGTGGTGCATATTTCGAACAGCTTTAAGGGCAAAACTTGAAGAATTGTAATATTACGCGATTTTTGCACCACCCTGTGTAAGTACATTGGTCAGAAAAAGGTTTTTTTTGTGGAAATAACATACAGATCGTGCAACTGTTAGTTGTTTTTATCAAAGATTTGTTAAAAATTCATAAATTCCCGTTTTGATTAATCAAAAATTCTTTTCATAAATTAAATTTTTATCCACAAAATGAAAACAAATAACATATAATTTTATAAGTGTCAACGTACTAGTATTGAAATATAAAAGGTTAATTACTCCAATGTGTCAAAGTGAACAGAAAACTTTACGTTCATCGAAAGTGGTGCTATATGGATAACGATGTTTTCTCAAAAAATAGTTTAAAGTGGTATTACTTGAGTAAAGCTATCAATCTGTATTACTTTGTTACCCAATCACAAGATTGCTCAAATAATAGTTTAGTTTCAAGTAGTATTACTTAATTAAAACTAAATACAGTGATAGATCATGGACTATTGAAGGAGGGGGTGGTCGACAGAGAAAGATGAGCGCTGCAAGCATGATACAGGACAGCTACATGAATAAACACCCACTCCCATTCCAGCTATGGTTCTGGAGACATGCCATAAGCTCTCCTAGCGGAATGTTTGGTGGAGCACCAGCTGTCAACGGATTTAGAATCCATAGAAGACGCTAGGAAGCAATAATTTTTGATTAATGTACGTTTTAAAACTATTCATTATTTAGAATAGAAGAAAAATCAACTTAATAATGGAATACAATACAAAAACCTTTGTATGTCTCTGTAGCGAACTCTAGATATGTGTCCCTCAACCAGCATTACCACATCATATATAATAACAAAATAAAATACACTATACGTAGAACAGCCTAGTTTTTCATGTTCAACCAGCTGCAGTACGCTTTACTATAGTTATTAATACAAGGCCCTGAAAATTAAGTTTAATGTTCACACACAAATACTTTATTAATATTCCCAAAAGAAATAACTTTTTTCTTCACCTTGGCGATTGGTAACACAGTGTGAACATCGTCTTTCTGAATGTCCAATCTTGAAGTCATCTGGACTTTGTCATCGTCAAAGTTATACTGGTCATTTGCTGCAGAGTCCAGAACATAACGAAGTTGCCAGATTATTCGACCGTTGTCATGGTAATCTGTGTCTTCTTCCACCTCGAAGAGCCAAGTAAAAAGTTCCTGCAAACTGGAAAGACAGAATGCTGAGTTGAGGGATCTTAAGTAAAATAAAGTAAGACCAGTGGCTAACTTAACTGAAAATTAAACCAAATTTAAAATTGCGTCTAGTGTTTGTTTTCGAATTATACGTGTATGAAATTTCGGGCCCGTTAGTTTACGCATTAGTGACAGCAAAGTACGTAGTAGTATGCATGGTGGAACTATGATTATTATATTTTCACCATGATAGTACGGTCTCAGTCTGCTCTACTCTTTCTATAAATGTTTTTACTATACCAGAATAATGTAATCGCCGTTTAGTTCAAGCAAATTAAATCGTCTCCCCCCCCCCCCTTGTGACAATTCTTAAGTTTGTCAGGCCCTTGGGACCCTTTTGGCTCGGGGCACACTTACGCCAATGATTAAGATGCTGATTTTTGTGTATCCAATTTCACAATAGAAAAATTGCAACAGTCGAAAATACTATTCAGTTCACCATGGTACTATTTTTTTTTCACCTCAAGATTACAAAGAAACATTTTAATCTAACGATTTCTCATAAAGTTACACAAGGGTTATTTGTGCATTGTTGCTCCGAATTTCGAAATGGAAGGCTAAAGAGAAGACAGCTTGTCATCGTCAACTCTTAGGCTATTCTTGTCAGATAGAATAATGGTATTTTACCGTCACTTACGGCCTCAAAATGAGGAACGTGTTTTTGTAAAACATATATATA